TATAGGAAGAAAAATAGGTCATTGATAAACAGATAGCAGGGAGCCTATTTGGCTACACTCTCCAAATTCTTTCCTTTCTAAATGACTCAGTCTATACATTTGGTCAATTTCCTCAACCTTTAAATGCTGGAAATGAGGCCTGCTATGAGGAGATGAGGACATTCCTAATCTGTCTGCTAACAGTGAATAAGAGCTGGTCCCAAAGAATCTGACTCTACTCCTTTGATAACAACAGTAAGATATGCAGCATGGAAAATATATTTTGTTTGGAAGAGAAAGCAAATGTTATCTTACCTCATATCCAGTCCACAGGATTTCTGAGTCAGGCTTCATATAGTGAGAAGTGATAGACCCTTGGAGTCTTTCCTCATTTACCATGACTAGACCAACATTTCTACCTCTGAACCTTACAGGGTCTTTCTTACACTGCGCGGGAATAGTTATTCTGTAAACTTTCACCCAGCACTGCCTCCAGTCCTGCTCTCTAGAACAAGTGTAACATTCACTCCATTTTTCATTGTCTTCATTCAATACTTCAAAGTTCAGACCTCATGGCCGCTCTCACAAAGAGGCTGAGATGATTTTCCATTGTTATTTAATTCTCTTATCCATTGGACAATAGCTTTTGAGTGCCTAGAATGAGTATCTTTTTAAGCTCTGGGGATACAGTTACACCTTGATTCAGTTAGAGGATGGGGCCTCACTGGTGGTGCAAGGGGTTAAGATGCAACCTATGAAGCTATCCGAAGCCACTGCAGCACAAGTTCAATCCCCCGCCAGGGAGTTACCCACATGGCGTAGCAAACCTCTCCTGCTTCAGCCGCCTCTCCCCTTAGCAGTGTATTTCAATACATCTGTCTGTTCTGTTCCCCACTCTGTCTCTGGTGAATCCTCTCAGATCCCCCCCCCCCGCCCCCAAACACACACATACCTCTGCCCTGCACCTCAGTTCTTGCATGCATATATAAATCTTAAAAAAAAAAGTTACAGGATGTAGGGTGTGAAATTTATATCCTTGCAGGAAGGACATCCCAACTGGTTTAAAACCCATTCTCATAGATCAACAGAACTTCACAGCAGCAGGTAGGGCCAGGCAACAGCAGGTGTCTCAAAAAAGTATACATATTTCAAGATCAACTGAAACCAAAATGTTTGGTTAATAGATTACCTTGAAGCCCATCTCTCAAACACCCTCTATGAAGTCAGTTCTCTCCTTTGCTCAGAAATGGCACCTTCTAGTTGTTCCTTCTTAGCAAGCAATACCTTTGCAGCCTTCTGTTGCAGAGAGAGTGACAGGCTCTGCCTTTGATGAGAAGACAGAAGCAACTTAAACCACAAGTACTTAAGTGGGTACTGTCAGATAATGACATGTCAAAAAAATGAGCGAGTGATGGGTGCGAGGTACAGATTAACCAATCTCTACTTCAGAGGAGCTGGCCAGAAAAGGTCACTGAAAGGATGACTTTCAAGCTGAGATAATGAAAAACTGTCCATAGGGAGACATCCAGTGAAAGTCACAGGTTGGGCATATTTTGAGCTAGAAAATGTACTTCAAACTTAAAATTGAGAAATCACAAGCATAGAAAAATAATCCCATAGTCCTGAAGGATCCATGAATGCCAAAGGAGGGGTGATGGCCTCAGAGGAGGGGACACTTGGTTTCCAGATTCTCTAAAACACTTAAACTATGACTTGATGGGGGAGGGGAGGACATCACCAGCGGGCCAAGCAGCAACTCTGAGATAGCAACTCCTAGATTTCTGTGAAATGCTTATTAATAGGCCAGCCCCACCATCTGTGTAGTATCTATATTTAGAACCACAAAAATAACAGCCCCTGTATACCATTCATGCTTATAGGTATTGCTAAGCTTTTTAAAATAAAGCTAACATATGGCAGCTGTCTCCTCTCCACAGATGACCCTCACAGAGATTGACATGACAGTTGAAGCTTGCCTTTTTGGCAGTTTGAGGGGCAGCTGTGGATGAACTGGAAGCCCTGTTGGCTCTGACTATGCGGCCTTTGCCCAGTCACCTGGCTTTTCTGGACTTCAGTTCTACCTGGGAAATCACAGGGAAAACATCTGCTCTACTTACATCAGGGAATCGCTGAGGAGATGAATAAGAAAATTTTATAAACTGGAAGCACCCAAAAATACAAGGGATGTTTCTGGAAAAGTTATGTTTAAGGCACATCTTGATAGATTAATACTATTTAAAATTCTTTGGTTAACTTCCAGAGGCTTTCATATTTATATGTACACTTCTACTCGGTCCTTTCTCCCTAAAGCTGTCCCTAGCTGAGAGGGTGGGTGGACTAGCACTCAGTGGTGGGGGGCAGGGTTGAGGTTTGGGGGAGGAGGGGATGATAGAGTTCTTGAGTGAAATTCATTTTCTTCCCCTTTATTCAGATTCCACACATACCCAGTTCAAGTTCTGCTTCTGGCCTTCATCGTGCCTCAAGGCTATCTTCCTTGCTAATTCCCTGAATTCCCACCCTCCCTTCTTGAAGAGGGGGGCTTATGCTAAGCACTAAGACAGATGGCTCTTCTGAGAGCTAGCATTCCAGGGACAGAAGGATGATAATGAACAATAAAGGTCAAGTGGTGAGAGCTATGCAGGCTTAAAATCAGGGGCTAGCAGAGCACAAGGGTGGGCACCTTCTATGGGGGTGTGTACAGGTGTCCTGAGTCATGGGGACATTTAAGTAAACATCTGGAAAGAATGAGTGATGCGGGACAGAATTTGGGGTACTTAAGAGTACATTGGATGAAGGGGATAAGTAGTAGGAAGAACACATGGAGTTATGACAATTTTAGTCTTGTGAGCTCCCATGCAGGTACATGGCATGTTGCATTCTGGTCTTTCTGATGACCGCCTGTAAATACAATTCAGCAATTTCCTAATTTAGGTATTGCTTAAATTAAAGTTTAAATTTAAAAACAAAGTCTCCACCCCTGGCCTAGCAGGCAAGTTTGGGAGACTTGAATGGATAAAGGGGGTAGTTGGGAATGCCATGGGAACCTGGACATTAAGCTGATGATCCCACAAGCTAATGATCCTCTGTGCTAATTCAGAATATCCATCAGGACACCCGAAGGTGAGCCACCCTAACCAGTCACTGATGCCTGGAGTATAAACAGAGCCTCAGGACCCTCACTCTATGCGCAGCAGACCCCTACAGTCTCACCTGCTGCTTCTCTGGGTGGTGTATTTCAATCAACCTGCTTGTTCTCTTCTTCACTTGGGTCTCTGGTGAATTCTTTCACCCATGCGCCTCTGGTCTATACCAGATTCTCCCTCATGACAATGGGTTACACAAATTTTCACAAGTTAGGTGGCTTATGATGGAGGACAAAAATAGAAAAAAAAAAAAAAAAAAAAAAAACAACAACTAAAAAAGGGCTCACCACAAGACCAGAAACCTGGCTCACACAAGGAGGTGGGGGCAGAAGAAATTAGCATAACCATCGACACAGTTGTGGAAACTAGCATCCTGAGGCACAGAAGCCTAGATTACAAAGCATAACATCCAAGCAGGTATCAGACTGCTCTCTAGAGCAGTGGCCCAACAGACCCCAAAGGTAAAGATATGGAGATTGAGCCCATTGTAGAATCTCCAGTCCCTTTCAAATTCTACATAGTTATCCAAAATTAGCAACCAAGAGCTCATAAGGAGTGACCCCTCCCAAACAGAAGACTATTATCAGTGCAGTCTCTGCACTGGCTCAAGGTAGCACTCCATCTGGCCACCTATGACTATGCAGGTGCCTCTTTTCACCAACTCTCTCCCTCTGCAGGGCAGCAGCTTCCAGCCTGTACGTGACCTGTCAAGGCCGCCCACCTGCAGCCATGCAGGCCTCTCTTAGCAAACCTGTCCCTTCTGAGGCAGCTCTTCCTGCCCACTTGTGTCTCTGCAAGTATCTTTTACTGTTTTATCCCTTCCCTACTAAACCTGCCCTTTAAATATAACTACTGTCTCTGTCTCGTGGAGAAACTCGCCGGGGAAACTGGCTGTATGTCGCTGAAACGGGAGCTCTGGTGAAACCTTTCCCAGAGTGAACCTAAAGGCCCCGCACTCCAAACCCTCAGACTCCAAAAACTACATAGCTTACAGTACAAAAATTTATTCTCCCACATTTCTGAAAGTTAAAAGTTTGCAATGAAGGCATCAGTAGGATGGTGCTTTCTAAAGATTCTAGGGAAACTGAGGCCTCCTCCTGCTTCTGGTGGACGAGTCCTCACCTAGGCATCTACACTGACCCATTAGACCTTCAGCAGCATCACATACAGAGACTTAGAAAAACTAACCACCCCCCACCCCCGCCCCCGGAATTCAGTTGACCTCGTCAAGTCTCAAATCATCACCAATTTTGCAATTACAAGTTTCCTACATATCTCAATACCCCATTATGTCTCCTTTGGCACCATATGTGAAGAGGTGGGTATGGGAGGCGTGGTTTGTTTTCAGATGTAAGAGTTCTAGAAAGGGTCTGCATTGGGTATAGCAAGTCATGGTCTTAATGAGGTTGGTTGTGGTTTCCCTGCAGTCCATTCAGCTAAAACATAAGTCTGAAATTAGGCCTTAAGTATCCTTTCTCCAGCCAGCCTGAGGGCATGTTTCATATTTTTTCTTTGTTTCCAACAAAGGAAGGGGCTCTCAGTGTTTGGAATTCAGAAGATGATCCATGTCCTAAGATCCACCCAACAATAGCCTTGAGATGCTGACTCCTTTGAAGTCAGGGGGGATAAAGTGACTGAGTATGAAATAGGGGATAGAAAGTGATGTGCTCTAATAGGTCCCTATTGTGCAACCATCTCAATTATTGGAATTTTCTAAGTACGGCTCATCCTTTTGTGAATCACTCAAGACTAACAGGACTACCAATACTTTTTTCCAGTGCTCTTGGCAAAGAACTGGTTCACTGAACATCCATAAAATCTGTTGAATTTTATCTCAGTACTTTAAAAAATGCAGCAAGAAGCCAGCACTATTTGTTCTATATATTTATTTATTTAACACTTGTTAAGTATCTACAATGAACCAATAATTAAATTTTATTGTTTAAAAAAATTCAAAGCTGTAAAATATGGCCCCAGGTGAGAGGTTACCAAAAGCAGCTGGAAAGGATGAAAGTTGCTCACTCCCAAAATTCTGCTTTGCAACTCAGCTGAGGATTAAAATCCCAAGAACCAAAGGATACCCCAAGGAGATGCCCCGCCAAAGACAATGAGAACTCAAGAGTCAGCCCGGGAGAGGAGCCAGAGGGAACAGGGATGAGGCTAACACCAGCTACACCCAGTGCATTCAGGCGCGGGAGCACAAATCGGATCTTAGGGTCCCACCTTGCCTTCCAATTTGTAAATTCGTCACTTCTTTCCCTTTTCCCAATCAAAAAAAAATATAAACAAAAAAAATTCCATCAGGATATATTTATTCTCCCAGTGACTTTACTTGTTGTTTAATAGAAAATTAAAGTCAAACTGCATGGTTTTCTTCATCCTTCATTAATGATGAAAACTGTTCATTCAAAAACTACACTAAGACAATGTGTTCCTAAAGAGCAATCCAGCTTTAATTGTAGGGCATTGAATCACCTTGCAAACAAATTACAGTCACTGTGATTTTACCATTAGGTACTGTACTGGTTGTTGAGTTGGTTTTTTTGTTGTTGTTGTTTTTTTTTTTTTTTTGGCAAACTTAGAACAATCCAGAGAACAAAATGTAAGTCTTTATCATCCTGTAGAAAAATAAAACAAACCTAAAGTATCTACCTATGTGTCAAGTGATTCATACTGCAAAAGTGAACTAAAATCTACACTTACAGCAGAGTTTAAAAAATCCTTACTGCAAGGAACATAACCAATTAATACAGACCAATACTTATTAATGAATATGGAAAATTTTCCTATACAGAGGTAGAGTCCAGTGCACAAGGCTAAAACAATGTTCAAAAGTCTAAACAAGACTGAGCCAGGTTTTACGGAATCCACTTTAAATTTTAAGTTATCAGACTATATGTACATACATACAATAAATAGACTATACAACTTTGAAAAGTAGTTTAATAAACTCCACAAAATAATAGCAGATGCATTGAAATATTTACATAATTCAATTTTCAAATCTCTCTCATTCAAATAAAAGGGATAAAAATAAGATTTCTGCTTTAAAGGCAGCAGAACCTCTTTCCTGAAATGGACTGGTAAAATAAGATACTTTACATGAGAGGAACTAATTTATGGTTGAGAGGTATTCATATTCACTAAGAAAATATGTCCCTTTTTAAGCTATATAGATTAGGGAATATATAAAATGATACTTTCTACATTTTTAGACCTCTATCCAAAGTTCTAGATCCAACTCTTTCTTGAAGAGAAAAGATGATTTTGGTACTCACACAGAGTGTATCAACACAATATAATGGAAAGATAATTAACTTCTCATATTCAGCTTCTTTGCTTTTGAAAGTCTAGACAAGAAAAAAACCTTAGTATTTCTGGCCCAAATAGTTATGTTTACACATGATACAAATTTCACTGAAACTTGCCTAGTACTTTTGGCTTGGTATTCTTGGGATTTCAACTTTCTGAGTTCCTTCCATTTCCAAAGCATGTTTCATCAGGAGCAGCAGGCATGTTTGGGGACCAGGTGTATGATTTTAGGGTACTCAAGACTAATTAATGTAAGATTCCAAAATTTTCCAAGTTCACAGAGGAAAAAGGTGAAACACAGATTTTTGGCTGCCATTTTGCCTCAGAGGCTTAAAAAAGGAAAAAACTTAGAAACCTTTGTCATTGTGACCCAGAAAATATGCATAAACCCAAAGCATCATAAGCTTCATTGACTCAAATTCTTAGAGCTAATATCAAATTTACTTTTTGAAATTCTGAAATTCTATCATTTTGATATTCTATCATTAACCTTTTACTTAACTTGATATAAAAGATTCTTATCTATACCATTCAAAGAATAGGGGTAATCAGAGAACAAAAGGCATGATGATAATGAATGAAGCATAAACCTTCACAGTTTGAATTTTGTGTAACTTCTCTAAGCACCCACAATGAAAATGCAAGTTGAGTTTTTTTAAATCAATCATTCTGTGAAAAATACTTCAGTAAATAGGAACATTTGCCCTTCAATGATCTTCCCACTGGAATACCCACCCACCCCTATTTTTTTTTCAATTTTAGATTTTTAAAAAACTTTATACAAATAGACTAACTTTGATTTAAAGTAAACATATAAAAATTGAGAAGAATATTGCTTGCAACAATGGACAAGGAAGTAGAGGAATGAAGTGAGCAGGGAGTACAAAGAAATGGCTCCTACTCAGTAACTTCAGGCAGACGCCTAGCACTCTGGAAAAATCTCATATGGAGGATACCCTTTGCTGCACACTGTTTCCTTCAGCCCAAAAGTCTGACTGATTCATAGCTATGATTTCAAGTCAGAGAAAGAAAAAAAAAAAAAAATGCAAGAAAGGCACAAGCACCCATGTTATCTAGAATGTTCTTAGGGTGAAGAATTAGGAAAGAAAGGGGTACTTTTGGTTCAGTACTAAAGTCAAGTTAATTTTTACCATTACTGAAGAAAAACTATAAAATAAAGGTGTACAGAAATGTGTCAAGCGCATCCTACTTGTGAGGAAGAAAGCTGAGAAGACAGCTCATAGGAATAGTGCAAACGGAAACCACCGGTATTATTTATTTGGCTGGCTGTGCCACGGGGAACAAACTATTCTCTGCTCTGTGGGGCCAAAACCAAAACAGAACAAAAACAAACAAAAATCTCCCAAACCCCATAAAACAGCAAGAAGGAATGCAAGAAGTCACACAGAACATACTGATACACATGGGGGGTAATAAATGCGGCACTCTTGTCTTTAATGCACGTCCAACCTTGTTATCTACTGTTGTGTTTTCCGTCCTATTCACGTATTGATCAGACGAGGGACTTAAGAAAATGGCCAAGTCATTTAACCACTTCCTCCGCCTCTACACAACTTCCCTTTCCCTTTATTTCCTCCTCCGGGATTAGAGTCTTTTTCCTCCAGGAAGAAAGTGCTGTTAATGATGATGGGGAAAGGCATGAAACAGGATTTCCAGAATACTGATTTCGCTTCCCTCAAAGCCTTGCTGTGAGTGGGCCACACAGCTTAGAGGCAGTCACCCGGGCAGCCTGACGCAGCTATGAATTAAGAAAGAAAAGGTAAGGAAAAACAAACAAAACCACCCCAAGTGTGTCTTTTCTCAAATTAAAGGAGAAACTGCGGGATGGTATGGCCTCCAGTGAAGATGCCAACAGTTAGGAGATGATGGCTGGGGACCACCTGGGCAGAGTCAGATTGTCAGCACTTGCTGACCGTTTCCTCGTGGGTCTCCTCAGGTCCTTGTACTTGTCCTCACAGAGGCGAGAGATGGCCTACAGGGCAGAAGAGAGACAATTCAGTCAGGGTCGGACTCACATGTAAGCATCTTCAGCCTCAAGGGGGCCCTCCTTCACTCACTAATCAGATCCCATCGTGGCTCAGTGCCCTGTCATTCTAGGCACTGAGGATATTTGTTAACAAAAACCCACAAGAACAACTGCCCCATGGCGTTTACACCCCCCAGCCCAGCACTGTGCCAGTCACAGCTGGGGGATACAAGGGAAGTGTAGACACAGTTTCTGTTCAATTGAGAAAACTTCAATTGAGAAAAGATCTCAGAATCTGAACCAATTCTAAGGCACAGCCTGGGGTAAAGCAGACTGAGGCTAATGCTGGCTCCCACTTAGGACTGAGAGACCCTGGGCACACAGCCCATTTCAAGTCTTTAGCATCCATGTCTGAAGATGGGGTAATAACAGCACCTGCCTCGCAGGGTTGTTGGGTAAGCACTGAGCTTCATCTTCAGCTGCATATTGAAACAACAGCCCTGTGGTGGCCGCTGTCACCAAGGAGCATACCCAGGTGAGACGGTGGACCCTGGGAGAAGTTGCTGACATAAAGAAGCCTGTGGTGTGTGCAGCCTGGGGTGCACTGCAGTGGCAGCAGTAGTTACCTGCCTGACCTTGGCATAGTTTGGGTTTGGACAGCCAGTTGGGATTTCACTTTTAAATACCATGCAGGAATTGGAAATGGACAGATCAGGCACCCTGAAGAAGCTAGGAGCTGAGGCTCCAGAGGTCTTGAGACACATTCTATGGATGCATCGGGACTCAGACTTTTGAAGCAGATTCACTGGGGAGATTCATTGGGACTCAGACCTCTGCAGACCGTTGCATCTCATCTCCACTTCAAATTGTAGCCTGCTTCTCCTGTGCTTGGTATCTCCAAAAGAGCTGTTTGCTGTTCGCTTATGCAAACATCCTCTGGCGCCTCGACTGCTGATTGACATTGCTGATGGGCACTGCTCAGCTGTGCCTGGTCATCTCTCAGAGATGTGTACTGCTTCTGATCCTCTGGCACTGTCTTCTGGAGTTGCCTCTGGCACTGTCTGGTCTGGTATCTGGCACTGGCCAGGGTACCCTCGGGATAGGCACTGCTGGCTGCTGTGGTACCACCTCAGCAGCTCCACTTTAGATCACCTCCAACTACCATCAGAGTTGGATCCTGGTTCACCTCTTACCAGTGTGCCAACAGCTCCAGACTCTTGCTGAAGGGACGCCACCATGCAGTATGAGTAGTCTTTGGTTTGGACTACTGGACACTTGGGTAGGACAGCCAGCCATTTGTGGCCTTAGAAAGTCTTTCCTTTACCCCAATTGCCCCTTTATTAATAAATCCTGTTGCTGCTGCACCATGAGCCTGAGTGGTGTTTTGCAATTGTGGACACTCAGGGTGAGAACCCACACATAGTGACCTGTCTCCCAAGCTATTGCTTGGAAAAAGAATTAAGTGCTTAGCAGCAAATGGATCACAGGTATTTGATCAGCTCCAAATAACCACTGAAGGAAAGCTGGAGGGGACTACAGGTACATGGGATGATGAGAAAAGTGAGACTCCAAGGAAACTGCATTAGCCAAAAGCCAGGCCAGGCCTTCCTGAGGCCAAGACAGAGACAAGACAGAGCTCCTCCAGGGCTGCTGCAGTGTTGCAAGCCACTGCACATCAACCCAGATGGCTTGTCCCAGTCATGCTAACTTTCTCTGACTAGATGACTCAAGGGTCAGTTCAAGTGCTAGGCCAGCTCGGCAGTACAAGTGATTGTGACAAGGGCTAGGGAAACAGACACAGCAGCCATTCACGAAAGAACTCACAGTAAAGGGACAGACACACAAGTGTAGTTGGCCACTTTCCATTGCCAGTGTTGGCAGGCTCTGATCAGATTTCCACTGGGTCTTGCTGGAATCATGGTAACAATCCTGCTAAATGTTTCTCTGCTTCCCCCTTAGACTCTCCTTCCTGTGCTTTCTCTACTGACCACCATATTCTATGGTGTCCCCAGTGGCCCCCATAACCTGAGCTTGAGTTCACTCCTGCAAGCTTTGCAGCAGTTCTTTCCCTAGCCTAGAGGCATCTATAAGACTAACTCATCCCACAGTCAAGTCTTCATACAATCATCATGTACTCAATGAGGCTACTGAGTAAAGCAACCCCCCCCCCCACCGACTGTCTCTAATGTAATAGCCAATTTATATTTACTGCTTACTATCTCCTCCCAGTGGAATGTAAATTCCAACAGGGCTGGGTCAGTTTTGTGCATGGTGTTCTCAGGACAGACCTGTTACCAACACATCAAACTGTTACTTGGGGGTACATGTGAATAAATACAGAACTGGAGGTAACAGCAACTTCGAATACCTCACTCTTGTTTGCTTTCCACTGTGGGGTTCAAGTTTGCTGATGACCACATGGCTAACAAGGATGCCAGGGTCTGGAAAATAATGAAACACAGTTTCTGTTCCTTAGAGATCATTTCAAAAGGCTGTCAATTGCTTTTCCACAGTACATCTGTCCAGGCTCACAGAGGAGGAGCCCCTCTGGACTTCTGTCCAGTTCAGAGAGTCCGTGGGAACTCCTTGGGGGAGACAGAAGAGCCTCCTGAGGAAGATAGGGCCTCCTCCCCCACGGTGACCTGAAGGAGCAGTTATTTGGCAGCCCACAGGGAGGCAAGTTCCCCCTACCGTCAACTTACACAGCCTGCCAGAGCGGAGAGTAACACTAACTCCCCCAGTCTCAGACCCTGGCTCTCTCAGTGTGGCTGGCCGGAAACTGAATGTATTCCCTCAGGGAGAACGACAGGCCCGCCCACTTGTGCGACTAAGCGGTGGCCAACAGACCAAGCGCCTGTCCTTAGCAAAGACAGTGGCACATAAAGGGTGCTGCAGACTGTCACACAGGCTGAAACTGGGTTCCTGCTCACTGTGAAATCTAACTCTGATGCTGCTAATAATGTGTGCCTGCAGAGATGTGACAACATTTGCCTTGGACAAATCCTTCAAGAGAAAGGGTTTCCATTTCTACTCTTGAATAGAAGAGAAAGGAGAGACGGAAAAGACTACTTTTATTCTAATGGCTGTTAAACAATCATAGCAAAGTGGTTTTCAGAACCAAACTGGATTTTCATTTTACCTCCAGGGCTATGTAAGCCTAGCACTGTGCATCTAGTCTCACCTACAATTATGCTCTTTCCTTCTTGAGATTAGCACATTATTAACTACATAAATTTCTGTTTTCTTAGGTTTATAATCCATAATAACGCTCATCCTCCCTACCTCTCAGCACTGCTTTGTTTGCAATCATTAACCACCCTGACCCTTTACTGACTGGGGACATTTCATTTGGGTTGGAAAATGGGGCAGGCAGCGCAGACCTCCTGGGTCCCAGCAAGTCTGGGAGATGACTGTGCCATCTACTGCTTTTGTCAAAAGCTCTGTGGGGATGAGTCCAAGATGGTGTCAGAGATGAAGTGCAGAGGGCCCCAGCACACCTCTCTGGAGGGGGGAGGTCTCGCCAGTGATCCTTTATCCCCAATATATTTGGTCACAAGTCAGATGGGAAGAGCTAGGTGCAAACATGACACTATAAGCTTGAGAAACCAAAATCACAGCTTAACAATGAAGGCCATGAGCCAGACCAATGCCAAGGGGGCTGGTCCAGCTCTAATTGGGCCATGGAAGAAGGATTTTTGGGGAATAAAAAAGCAGAATTAAGCCTTTTTAAATCAAATTTTATTGAATTACCATTTATCTACAAAGCTATATAATTTCAAAGTACAGCTTCATACCTCAACATGTCACATACCTCACTCATCACCAAAGGTGCTACTGAACTATCACTCTTCCCCAATTCCCTCCCCTGCAACCTCCTCTAATCTCGTATTTTTCACTAAATCTAATAGTTACTTTTGGTGTGCCTTGACAGTTCATTTTCTTTGGTTATCTATATTCCACAAATGAAAGAAACCATCTAGTCTTTCACTTTATGACTTATTTCACTTAGCACAATTATCTCAAGTTCCATCCATGGAGTCAAAAAGAGCACAGTTTCATCTTTTAAATAGCCGAGTAGTATTCCACTGAGTATATAAACCACAACTTCTTTTTTCCAGTCATCCACCAATGGGCATTTAGGTTGACTCTGTGTTTTGGCTAAAGTGAATAATGTTGCTATGAACATTGTGTATATATCTTATACATATATCTTATACATTGGTGTATATATCTTATACATTGGTGTTTCCACATGCTTTGAGTAAACCCCTAGAAGAGGGATTGCTAGATCATATGGTATTTAAATGGTATGTTTTTAAAGGAATCATCATAACATTTTCCATAAAGGTGCCAATTTACATTCTCACCAAAAGAGAATGAAAGTTCCCTTTTCCCCACACCCTTACCAACCCTTGTTTTCAATCTTTATGACATAGGCATTCTCAAAGGTGTGAGCTGATATCTCTCTATAATTTTGATTTGCATGTCCCTTACAATAAGCAATGGTACATTTTCTTATGTGTCTGTGGGCTATTTTGTATGTCTTCTTAGGAGAAGTGTATATTTAGGTCTTTTGCCCATTTCTTGATTGGGTTGTTTTTTACTTTTGAGTGGTATGAGTTCTTTATCTATTTTGGAAACTAAATCTTTATCATACATGTGAATGTGCAAATATCTTCTCCCAATGATTAGGCTGACTTTCAGTTTCTGTGGTATATACACACTAAGACTTGTTTTGTGTCCCAGCATATGATCTAACCTTGAGAAATGTTCCATGTGCACTGCAATAATGTGCATTCATTTTTGGGGGGATGAAAAGTTCTGCATATTAAGTCCATTAAGTTCATATGATCCATTACTTCATTTAAGGTCTTTATTTTGTTGTTTACCTTCTCTCTAGATGATCTATCCAGTGATAAAAGTAACGTGTTGAGATCACCTACTAGTATTGTGCTGTTGTCAGTATCTTACCTTATGTCTATTAATAGCTGTTTTATATATTATATTTGCATCTGTTTGGGTACATAAATATTAATGACAGTTATATCTTCCTGATGGATTGTCCCCATGATCAGCATCTGTCCTTACCACCACTTACCTTTTTGGCTGAAAGTCTAAATGATAAGCTATACCAATAGCATTCCTACTTTTCTCTGTGCTATTAGCCTGAAGCACCTTGCTCTAGACTTTCACTTTAAGTCTATTTGTCTTTAGATTTGATGTGAGACTCCTGTACTTATAATATTGATAAACAATGCTTTTGAAATTCTAACCCACCACTCTTGGTGAGTGATTGTTGAGTTCAGACTATTCACATTAAGGGTGAGTTACTGATACATTGATATACAGAGCTTAATTACCACCACTGAATCTTTTGTTTTTTTCTTTCTCCCATCTAATCTTTTTGTCCCATTTCATCCTTGTTTCTAAATCTGTGTTAGAAGAACTTTAACCTTTTTTATTTGTCTAGGGAAGTCTTCATTTCTTTGTCATACATGAATGCTAACTTTGCATGGTCGATTATTCTTAGCTTGTAGTTTTTACTTTTAGAAAGTTTTTCAACTCTCTTCTAGCATGTAGTTTTGCTGACAGTCTGATGAAAGCTTGACAGAGGTGCCTCTGTATGTCGCACACTTTTAGTGGCTTTTCTTAAGTGGAGACTTTTGATAATTTAACAATGATGTGTCTTGGTGTAACTCGCTTTGCATTTAGTAATTTGAGTGTTCTGTCTGCTTCCTGGACATCGATGGTTTGCAATATTTTCAGTATTATTTACTTGGATAGGGTCTCTGGTCTCTTCATTGTTCTTTTTCTGGGATACCCATTACCTCGTGTTTCCTCTTATAATGTAACCTGATACTCTGCATTGTTTCATTTTTCCTAAATCTTGTATTTCCTATTTCATTTGAGATATTTTGTACATTTTTTAATTTCTACTTCACTTATTCTTTCCTCTGCAACATTAAGCCTTCTTAGTATGCTTTCTATTCTTATCTCCAGTTCTTTCACTGTATTTCCTACCCATCATTTCTGTTTGGGTCTTTTTATAGCTTAAATTTCTTTGATGAAGAATTCCTTCTGTTCTTGGGTACCTTTTCTGATTATGCCGTAGCTGCCTTTCTGTGTCAAGTGTCTAAAACTTTAGACTCCATTCTCTTGTGTTCCCTGAGTTGACCTTTCCTTTGCATATGTCTTGCCTCCTCCCCCCCCCCAGTAGGTGGCACTGTGACCTTAATTTTGGAACCCCTGTTTAGGTGGTGAGAGGAGGTGTGGAGAAGAGGGAGTTCAAATGTCACAAGTAGTCAGTCTTGCGGCAAGGGAGGGCAAGCCAAGGGTGGCAATCCTATACTACCCACTTCTCCCTCCACAACCAGACAGAACTTGAATCTGTACCTACTTTCCAGGCCCCTGACTCTCTATAGCATGGCTCCACAGTTCACAGGGGATTTTTCTCCAACCTCTGAAACCCTCACTTTCCCAGAGGTAGGGGGTGTGTGGTTTTACCCCTACTAATGCTATCACCATTCTGATACTCTGGGATATCATTTACTCTGTCCCAGCGCTCAGTCAAGAAATAGCATAGTATTTCACACTCACGGTGAAAGTCAATTCTGCCAGCAAGGGCACACGTTTTGGATTTCATATTGTTGTGTTTATCTGGTAACATTTCCTTATAAAAGTAGATACTGGGGAATACATTTCTGTGGGCTTATAAAGTTTTAAAAACACAGGGCTAAAAAAACATGCTTTAAAAAAAAAAAGAATCAACACACATTAAGTAAAAACTGGAATTAAGAAGATGCAAAAAACACACGAGATACAAATTATACTAAATTGACTATGCCCCTTGAATTGACTTTTCCTTCTAAATCCAGGGTATTTCATCTTTTTACCTTATAACAAGACATAGAGGGAGAAATGATCACTGAGTACACAGATGCTACATTACCACGATGATGCATCTGCAATAATGCACCAAGACCAACATGATAAAAGAATCTTACCTCCAACTTGTGAGCCCTCTCCCTGTTCAGAGGCTCCAAGGGAAGGCTCAGGTTGTTTGCTTCTGCCAGAGAACGAAGATCAAAATAATACTTGGCATAAACACTGGAAGGAACATTGATGTTGAACTGAAGCAATTCAAGAAACTGTCGCTCTAGCTCATTCCTGCAGAGCAAAGACAAAACAGCACATATTTAGTGCTGAACCAGGTTGTGTGGCCTGCCAAGGCAAGCTGTTGGAGACTGGATTACAGAAAATTGCATACTACAGGCACAAAAGGCATCTAATAAATTGACTAGTTGGACACCAAAGTTGCGGTTTAACCACCAAATTGTTACTGGAAGCTGAATTTACTTAACCCAGTGTCCAGAAGTAAAGCCCGATTAATTGGGATGATCACCATGAAGTACTTCAGGATGATTAGTTTCAATGAGACCTACATAGATAGCATTCTGGTGGCAGATCTCAAATATGGGGCAGATGAAGCAGTCAGGAGCGGTCATGTAGAGTCTAGTTGAGGTCCTGACAGCTGCCCTATTAGATCTAGAGGGTTTTTCTCAATGGCTCTTCACTTCCTCCTGGGAGGAGAGTGGAAGATCTGTTGTTGTAGGAGATTCTTTAAGTAAAGGGAAGAGAAGGGAGAGGGTGAATTGCTGACCCAATCTCTTAAAAAGGGAACTCAACCAACTCTAAAGAATGAAAACAGGTTTTTATTCTTTCATTTAGGTTCCTAAGCCTGAGCTTGCATCTGATTCACCTTGAGGACTTGTTACAACAGACTGCTGGGGTCCATTCCTAGCCTCTCCTTTGGTAGAGAATGTGTATTTCTTTTTTTTAAAGATTTATTTTTATTTATTTATGCATATAAGAACTGGGGTGTTGACCAGAGGTACGGGGGTGGGTGGGTGAGAGGATTTACCAGAGACAGAGTGGGGAGCAGAATAGGTGCATGTACTGAAATAAGGAGCAGCTGGTGAGACAGGAGTGGTCTGCTGCACCATGTGGGTTAGCTCCCTGGCCAGGGATTGAACTCATGGCCTCAGTGGCTGACAATAGCTTGATAGTGTTGAAACTTTAGCTCCTACACCACCAGGGAGGCCCAGGAATATGTATTTCTAACAAGCTCCTAAGGAGGCTGATTCTGCTGGTTTTAGCCAACGACAGAGACTGATTGGTAAAGGAGCGAACACAGGCTTTAAAATCCATGTAGCCAATCCAATTACATTTTGATGAAAACAAATGATAGGTAGTCAGAATAAATTTAAAAACTTGTTTTGTGAGAAGTTTGCTAAGTCAGTGATCTTTTGAATTAGGTTTATTTCTCAACAGTTACTATCTGGGGGGAGAATAGTTATCAGTCACAGACCTGCTTGTTGGGCACTGGTCCTGGGCCAGACACTCAGTCTCAGTGGCACCTCTCACACAAAGGTCACAAAAGGAGCCCTGGTCACAACACACTACACAGTCATTTCTGTTCTTTATCACCCTCTACTGTCATTTTAATTCAGCCTCCCCTACTTGTCTTTTCATAGCCAGAAAATGTAACATCTGATTTTATATGCCTGGTCCCCAGCACAATACCTAACATGAAGTTGGTGCTCAATAATTACAGTTACTAAATGGAGCACACCTCAACCAGGAAGGAGGACCAAAGAAGGTTCCCACAGAAGAGAGAGTACAACAGAGTTAGGGAAACATGGAGCTCTGATGGAGAGAAACAAGGGTTCTCTGGGGTATTTTCACCAAGAGGGAGCCACTCAAACAACTGCATGGCCTGTCATCATTTCCTTAAATGGAACTGAATAGTGACATGCCTAGTCCCAGGCCTCGCTTTTCCTGACCCCAACCACAGCCAATACCCACTCCACAAGGCATGAAGTTTCCCAGTTCTACTCCCTGTATGCAGGTGCATGACAACTGCAGGCTTCAAACACAGCCCCATGCTATTTTCATGGATTCCCTGAGTCTCAATCTGTTTCTGGTGGGTAACCTCACTAAACCATCAGAGACCAAGAAGGACTGTGCCCAGTCTCATGTTGCTATGACAACAGGGGACAAGAGGAGGTGGGGTGGGGGGGCTGGAATCTGAGCTTGAGTAGATGGCTTTAGAAACATAGAAACTACTGGGCAAATAAGAATCAAGAGACTCAGTAAGTTGCTACTGAAGTCCTAAGAGCTCCAGGTGGAAAGATTATGAAGTCACATTTGGATCTTTTAGTCGAAAAAACAGCATAATTTTCACACTGTTTATATATAGCCTAATGAAAGGAGTTAAGGTTCAGATGGATATATTGTGCTACATTTTACACTTTAAAAATATACTACTTTGTTTGGGATAATTTTTATTTTATTTTATTTATTATTATTATTTTTAAAAGATTTATTTATTTACGCATACAAGAGCTGGGGTACAGGTCAGAGGTGGGGAGGGGGTGTGAGAGGATTCACCAGAGACGGAGTGGGGAATAGAACAGGCAGATCTACTGAAATACACTGCTGAGGGGAGTAGCAGGCAAGACAGGAAAGCTCTGCTGCTGCGCCTTGTGGGTTAGCTCCCTGGTTGGGGATTGAACTCATGCTGTAGTGGAGGCAGATAGCTTCATAGTACTAAGGCAACCAGGGAGGCCTTGATTTTTACTTAATAAAATATTTCATTTATTCTTCATTTAGTGAGATTTAGTAAGAGATTATCCTATGAAGTACCAGAACTCAGATATGATTTTGGTTAAGACAAGAATGTCAATGCAAAAGGGCTAGAAGGTGCTCTCCTAGGGCAATGCAGAGGCTGCCTGTGGACAGTCTGCCACCTGGTGGTTAAAAGGTGTCACAGTAGATCTTCCTCTAATGCTGAGAACATCTTGACTTTTTAATCTTTTTTTTTTTTTATAAATTTTATTGTTATATTCCCCATACAATTGCAGCCCCCCCATTCTGACCCCAATCCCTCCCCTCCCGCCCCCACCACCCTAAAAGTGTCTCTGGTTCATAGTTTTTTGTTGATTTTGATTTTCACTTTCTTATAGTTATTCATTTTCCTGGTCCCTTATTTAAGTTTTCTAGATTCCTGCTATGAGTGAGACCATCCGGTATTTTTCTTTTTCTTTTTGGCTTATTTACCCAAAGGACTTTTTAATCTTTTAAGAGAGCTAGTGTGTTAATCCTGCCACAAATGGCATATAGTACCAATGCCTCTTGCTGAGGGACAGCCTATGATTAAACAGATCAGAAATCTGTTTAAGAAGATGGCACTTTCCAGGGTTCCTTGGGAAAAAGAATAGCTTTTCTCCAAACTTTTCTTGAACGTTTTCTTAAAAAAAAATTTTTTTTTTGTTTAAGCTCTAGGGAAAACAGGGATCTTAAGAGTTACTGTATATGGTCTCACTCATAGCAGGAATCTAGAAAACTTAAATAAGGGACCAGGAAAATGAATAACTATAAGAAAGTGAAAATCAAAATCAACAAAAAACTATGAACCAGAGACACTTTTTGGGGGTGGGGGCCGGGAGGGGAGGGATTGGGGTCAGAATGGGGCATTTGCAATTGTATGGGGGAATATAAAAATAAAATTTATTATTTAAAAAAAAAAGAGTTACTGTATATTTAAACTAAGGGGAAATTTAGAAAATACAAATATTTCCCTAAATTTAAATTCCCAAACTGCAGCAGTACATCTAAAAAGAACATCTCATAGCATGCTAATGTGGTAAATTACCAGAAAATTAATAATACACAGCAAATGGGCTTGGTGGATTTATTACCCTCAACTGGATAATTAGGAAGAAATAGCTCTGATGTAAAACTTTATAGCAAATAAATTCAAATCAATAAAGAAATACATTTTGTAATTACCTATTACATTAGATCAACACTGTAAAGAAACCAAACTGAATGGGTGCAATTTAGCAACCTGTAAATAGGCTTCTGAAATGGAACAGAGTTGTTTTTGCTTTCATCATCAACCCTGCCAGCTTCTTTTTTACCCCAGAAAAATCAATTCAATTAAAAAACCAGTCACCAGTCCAGCAATGCCATTTCTGTAAAATACCCAAAAGAATTGAAGGCAAGGCATCAAAGAGATATTTGTACACCCATGTGCATGGCAACATCATCCCCAACAGCCAAAAGGTAGAAGCAACCCGAGTCTCTAAGTGCATGTCAATGGACAGATGGACAAATAACATGTGAATGTTATATACATGGCACATTTTCAGTTTTGATAAAGAAGAAAATTCTGACACATGCTACAACCTTGATGGACCCTAAGCATAATATGCATTGAAATGAGTCACTAACAAAAAGACAAGTAATATATGATTCCAATATATGCAGTAATTAGAGCAGTCAAATTTATAAAGACAGATGGAATTATGGTTACCAGTGGCTGGGAAGAGGGGAAAATGAGACTTAATGTTTAAAAGGTACAGTTTCTGCACCCCTTACTAGGCAGTTTCTGTTTGGTGATGGTTATGCAACAACGTAAATATACTTAAGGCCACAGAATTGTACGAAGTGTAAATGTTATGCTATGTCTATTTTACCACAATGAAAAAAACAAAAAATCAGGCAGCGAGGACTGGATGGCACTAAGGTTCCTGCTACGTGTCCGCATCTGTCATACGGCATTTAGACAAGTCGCTTGGCTTCTCTTACTTGGGAATTTCTTTGTCTACATATGAAAAGGACTCAGGAATATTGCAAAACAAAAACGACACACAAAACAGACCACCCCCCAAAGTGTAATTTTTTAAAAGCATTTATCTACCAATTGTCCTTGGCCCTTTCTCTTCCAAAGTGACTGTCAGAGCATGTGTGGGGGTGACTACTCACACCAACCGGCCCCGGGCCCTATTCAGCCCGAATCTGTCTGGTGTCGGTGAACGTTCTCTAACTGCATGTTCATTGCCCCAACTATTCTACTTGCCGGTTTCATGGACACCTCTTAAAATATTCTCCAACTTGTTCCCATAGCTGTGTGTCCACATGGACTAGGCTCAAATTGAAAAATTTGAGGTTTTCCAAATCTTCTTGCCTTCAAGAAGGCAAGAGAAATGCCTTCTTCCATTTCTTCGTTTTATTCCATTTTATATTCTGCTGCTTTCAGGACAGGACTTCACTGAAGCCTAAAGGTAAGTGCGGGGACTTTAAATCGGGTTACTCATTACTGG